TGTACTCACTTGCAGTGACGAGCATTTTAGATTAAATAGGATTTTATAATTATTTCATTATTAATATTTGTTATTTGGAGTTAGAAAATAAAAGGATGTTCCCATTTTATAATTTTATTTAATATTTATTTATAATTATTTTAAACTTTAATTCTATCTATTCTTTCTATTTTTATATATTTATTTTTCAATTTAATTATTTATTTTTGGTTCGGTGGTGTTTAGTTCAATTTATCTACCTAATCCATTCCACTCACCACGGCAGCCAAAGAAGTTGATGTCTCGGGACTAACCATCGTCACAACGTTGAACGAGTTAGTTTGGCAACTCCCTAGTTAAACACTAAATAAATTCATTTTCCGAAACTTAAATTAGTTTGTAAACCTGGCTATGATGGTTAAGGCGCCTGGCATTTGTTGGTGCTGTGATCGGCTTTAATTGCAAAGAGTGGATTAGTTTGTAATAGACTGTGAATTTGAACAATGATTAATTAACTAATAAAACAATTAATTAAATTATCAAATTTGAAAAATGCTTTTTTTTAATTTGAATGAATCGGATAAATGAATAATATTTCATAAATTAAGTAAATTTAAATTGAAAATTTGGTTAAATGTTTAAAAGTTATGGACAAAGATAATTTTAAATTTTTTTTTAGGCAGCCAAAGAAGGCGGGTGTCTATCTTTTAACGAGTGTTGATGGGGAGGTGGGTGTACGAGGGACGACCCACATGGAGGTGGCCTGCGTCATGCAGGAAGATAGGGTCATCCACCCCTTTGCGTTTCGTACCCATGCTCATACCCATGGTTGGTTGATTATTTGATTGGTTGGGTGATTAGTTGGTTGGTTGGTTGGATGATTTGGTTGATTGGTTGGTGGGTTGATTAGTTGGTGGGTTGATTGGTTGGTGGGTTGATTGGTTGGTTGGTTGGCTGACTGTTTTGTTCGCTTTTTTTGATAGTAATCATAAAACAAGAACAATAATAATAATAGGAGTAATATAAATAAATTAATAATAATAATAAATAATAAAAATAATAACAATAAAAATATTTTCGAAGGTCGCGTCCTCAGTGGCTACAGGATCCGCGACGGAGTTTGGACGGAAATAGGAAGAAAAGATCCCAGACTTCCGGAGGTGGTGATTCCTTAATTGATGTTTTTTTTTAACTTAATTAGTAATTAATTGATTAATTAACCCATGGTCGGTTCGTTAGTTGCTGGTTGGTTAATTGATTAATTAACCTATGGCTGGTTGGTTAGTTGCTGGTTGGTTAGTTACTGGTTGGTTAATTGATTAATTAACCAGTGGCTGGTTGGTTAGTTGCTGGTCGGTTGGTTGATTGGTTAGTTTATTAATTAAAATTAACCAATTAATTAATTAAACAATTAGTTTATTAATAGGTAGATTAAATAGATATTCCAACAAAAGGTTTTTTATTATACCTCTAGTACGTTGCAAGAAATGAATGAATGGATTGATGCGAGGTTGAACAGATGGTAAAATTCGTTCATCATTGCCTTAGACACACATTAACTAGAAACACACACCCAACACACACACACACACACACACACACACAAACA